TTTCATCCCCCAATGTATTCGCGTATTGTCCCAGACAGGTAACAAGGCCTGCGGCCCACGTGGGAGACTACACAGGTATACGGTGGGCCGGGCTCGATCGTAAAAGCTGCTGCGGCTTACCCTGGCATTAGGGCACTCATGCCAAGTGAGAAAAAACCTGCACGGTTGCTATACGTTTGCCGTGATGGCTGATGATATCCCTTCTCTCATTGGTTGCAGGGACTCTTTCGCGCGCAGTAATTTCTCGGGTATACGGATGAATCGAAATGGTTTTGTCGTGACACCACTGCTGCCGTTTTTGTATGCGTATACTGGATGCTAAACTCTCACACCGATACAGTGCGGAGTTCAAATACTGGTAACATTAACGAGGCGGCATTAGATTTATGCTACTGTTCATATTAATTCGAATTTTTTTATGCATTGCAAGGATTATAAGTTGGCTCGCGATGACATAAATCATCCCTACCCGTCCGAGTCGCTTCATGGCCGTGACAGGCCGTGATTACCCGAATCGTTATAACTTATAACGATGGTTGGAGTACACTTGAGTCAAGTAGCAGCGGCAACACGACGATGAAGCTAAGGAGGTTGCTTCCAAATGAAAAAAAAAAAAAAGAACGATTTACAGACTTCCAAGCACAAAATAAGCCATTGCAGTTAATACACTGCGGCAAACGCCAAATCTGAGCCTGCGTAGAGTGGATGGGCCCGGTAACGTGGTGAGGAAGTGTGCTTGGCGGCCGGTGAACTCAACGTCGAGCCCCATATACCCATATATTTATTATGCCAATCGAAGAGCTGCCACTTAGAAGCATGGAGGCGGGGTCGGCTTGTTCGTAGTTTTAGAAGTGTATCGCATGATAAGTGGGGCCGTCGGGTGGTTCAGGTGCTGGAGCCTCGAATCTTCAGCCTCCGTCGTGAGCCAAAAAGTTATTTCACGAGTATACTTGTGCCTCAATTCTTCAGTTTCCGTCGTGAGCTAAAACGTTATTCCACAAGCACTCGTGCGCGGGGCGAGTAGAGCGAGTCGCCAGGGTGCGTTCGACCCAACATCGACATCGCTTGGCCACCACGCGGATTCGAAATCCGACACGATTAGGCGAACAGTTACAGGAATGTCTCCATTCAAGGTGCCAATATTATAAGTCTGGATAACAAATCCGCAGCTATAATTAGTTGGTTCTTCATTTTCTCAGGGAAAATACGGCGCTTACCTTCACGAAGAGCGATGAGAAGCGTATACGGGGAAAGTGAGCAACCCCAAAGCCGGAACTCTCGTTCCGTGTGTCAGTATTCGTGAAGGGTGCGCTGTATTTGCCTTGTGTTAAATGTGATCGAGACCGAGTAGGGGAACGTGCCGGCTTTCAAAGAGAGGTAATTAAGGCTCCGTTTTTTTTTTAATTTTTACGCTCAGGAATGACGACCTTCGTTCAGTGTAGTTTCCGCACGCAGCATTTTCTGCTCTATTATTGATTAATTGCTGTATTCTTTTTGCCTAAAACTACTTTTTTTTTATTTCCTAAAACATAGTATGATACATACATTAAATTACACTTGAAGCATCTTCATTTCAGTAGGAATATGAAGTGGTTTCGCAATACTTCAATTGAACGCCGCTTTCTGTTGTTGATGACATATTCGCGAAAAGCTGGCAGGATAAAATGGCGCCTCACACGAGAAAAAAGAAAAAAAAACATTGAAAAAATAAAGTAACCTAGCTCCGCCTGGCGGGCACTAACGAAACAATGAAGCCTGCGGCGTGCAGTGGGGTTGAATGAAGTGGATTGAATGAAGTGCGAATTAAGTGACATGAAAGAACTGAGCGAATGAAGCAGGATGAGTGGCAGGAGCAGTAGTGGGCGTAGTATTAGGTTGCGGGAGTGGTGGGAGGATGGGCGCATACCCACAGTGGGATTTATCCCCTTTCTGTGTGTATCTCCCACACGATATCAACGACGGTCCCCGGTCATAAAAAGCCTCGGGTAAGGACAGCGCAAGTTTGGTTGGTGTTTTCGTGTTGGTAACATGTTGATAGTCTCTTCAACTAACCTGTAGAGTTTTTTTTTTCTTGCTAGATCTTGTGAACTATATAGATGACCCTGTGGAGAATAATCGGGCCGCGATAAACAGTAACACGGTTAATTAGACGAAAGTTACCACCATTACCGGTGTAACCGACTTGCTACGATATTTGCCTGAGTTAGATTAAGGTAGGCTGGAAGAATAACCAGCCGACGTAAGCTATACGGAAACCGCCACGCTTCAAGTAATTACCAGCTTACGCAACTGCACTGCCGGACGAAGACTTTCCCAAGGGACCTCCAAATATCTCTCTTATCCGCGTCGTACCTGCAAACTTCCTGATCTACAATCAATCTTTCCGAACGCTCTATCTCCATCCATCTCTCCAGCGGTGATGACAGATTGCGAATATAGAACTGTCTTCTCGGTTCTATGCGTAATCTCTTCCGATATGACGCAACAAGTTCCACGAGCCATCGTGGAGTATAAGAACGATGCGGAACTTCTCAGTTCAAAACTTTCAAACCGAAGGGCTCGAACTTGTTAGCCGATGCCGAAGGCACAACCTGTAGCATCCGCTTTGGGGTTGAAGATCGAGCCAGCACATCTCCCAACACTTTTATCTCACTACAAGGGATAGGCTATGCTATGGTGCATTTTGGCAAATGCATTTAGCTGAGCACAAGTGGCAGTTTTCTTTCAGTAGCAATAGACTACGATTCGGCTTGACAATCGACAGACAGGTCAATCGCCGCACTGATCCCGTTAATAATGATATAGGAAGGGTCGTCGACCATCCTAATGATGACGCATGCTGGCTGTCTATGGCACGGTAACTGAAACGTAGCCCCCTCTTCCCCATGTAATGGTAGTAGCTTTGCGCAGTGTAAGGAAAGGTATAGAAGAGGGTAAAAATGGTAGAGGTATATATATACTCTCTGGCATCTTAGCTTCTCTAGCCTGCTGCCATCAGAATTTGGAAGCTTGCATCGCAGATGCGGCTGCTGACGGATCGGTCACTTATACAGCACTGCGAAAGGACGGGACGTTGAGGAGTTCGGGCTGCCTGTCGTTCCAGTGCATGATATAGCGTTGTTTCTGTTTTCTCGCGCAATTAATCGTGCCCCTCAATCTTGTCCGTCTGGCCTGCGGTGATCGACTGGGCGGCGACTTGAAAGACGCCCGGCCAGGACTTGTTGCGCGCCAGGCTCTGATGAGGTTCCCAGGGCGTGGCACGAATTACGCGCGCATATATTACCGTATAGGGCACCCATGAAACGCTAGCGGAGAATTACGGACACTCGCGCGATAAGGCTGCAAAAGAAAATAAAAAAATGTCGCTCATTGATTTCCCGTAATGGAGTGATTAATTAATGCTCCAAATCACAGAACGGTAAGCATGCCTCCAGCGTCGAAGTTAGACGTAATCAAGAGCGCAAGCTTGTTACGTATACCTCGAGTACTACCGCGGAATTTATTTCTGTCAGCCCCGCCGCGGTGGTCTATAGCTAAGGTACTTGGCTGCTGACCCGCAGGGCGCGGGTTCGAATCCCGGCTGCGGCGGCTGCATTTCCGATGGAGGCGGAAATGTGTTAGGCCCGTGTACTCAGATTTGTGCGCACGTTAAAGAACCCCAGGTGGTCTAAATTTCCGGAGCCCTCCACTACGGCGTCTCTCATAATCATATAGTGGTTTTGGGACGTTAAACCCCCCATATCAATCAATCAATTTATTTCTGTCATTTGAATTCTCGTTCCGGCGTCGCTCATTCGCGATGTACCATGGTACCAGAAAAAAAAAACGTGCCATAATTTCTGCACCACAAAGGAAGTTATTCCAATTTCGAAGCTGATGTTCTCGACATGTGGACAACGTAACTATACGACAGTCAACCAAATTTCACTTACCACTAATGCCTAGTTCACACTGAAACATCCGCTTTCTACAGCGACCGAAATTCCTCTGCCGCCGAAACGCAGCGTCGTTCGCACTGGACGCGCCCCGCACCGCCGAATATGCCATCTACTACGGGGTGAACGCGGGATGGATGCGCTATCACCCGGTTGTTGTCGCGGCTCGCAAACGCTACAACGCTATCCGGTGGTGTATCTTCGACGATTCTCGTACGCAAGAAGCAAGAAAAGACAGTACTGCTTACTTTGCTGGCAAGTGGCTGTCTTGTAATTCACGAAGAGCAGAAAAACCCACCGACGCCCGCGGCGTTGGTGGGTTTGTTTTGCTCTGCAAGACCGCAACAAGCTCGGTCGCGCCAACAGCAAGCTCGGTCACCTCTTTCACGAAATACGGAGGCGAAGTAGGCACGGAGTAGGTTAAACAACCATTGGTTTCAACATTCAGTTACGTGCACTGCGGCATAACATGTGAGTAGGGCTTGGCCGCCATTTTTCAAAATTCGTTGACTAGCGCTCCTATTGGTCCACGGTGACCGATTCGGCGGCAGACGCCGCAAAAATCGGTCCGAGAGCGATCGGCGCGGAGAGGGCCTTTTCGACGGATCTCGCCGCCGCCGAACCGGATTCGGAGCACTTTCGGCGGCCGGAATGCTCAGTGTGAACGCGGCCTAACGGCGCCCTCCGAATCTACTAGTGCCTTCTTTTTTTTTTAGTTTTTAGCTCCGTATTTTCCCAATAAGTTCACAATCTTCAGTACTGAAACAAGGTAATTGATTGATTGGTTGATTGATTGCTATGTGGCGTTTAACGTCCCCAAACCACCATATGACTATGAGAGACGCCGTAGTGAAGGACTCCGGAAATTTCGACCACCTCGGGTTCTTTAACGTGCTCCAAAATCTGAGCACACGGGCCTACAGCATTTCCGCCTCCATCGCCAATGCAGCCGCCGCAGCCGGGATTCGATCCCGCGACGTGCGGGTCAGCAGCCGAGTGCATTAGCCACTAGACCAGCGCGGCGGGGCAAGCATTATGAGAAAAGCTGCGTTAAACAGCACTTACTGTTGCTGTCGATGATCTCGAATCGAAGCGCCAGGGGGTCTCCCACTTGAGCGGTGAACACATCGTCGCCTTGGCGATCGGTGATGCGCATCGTCACGTTCGGAGAGCTCACCGTGGCCAGCTGGCTCTGCGATGTCTCCACTTCCCGCCTGCGAAGGTAATGCCATGCGCAGACTGTCACGCACAATGTCGCATGGAGAGAGAGAGAAGGAATGTAGGAAAGGTAGGGAGGTTAACTAGACTATGCGTCCAGTTTGCTACCCTACACATGGGGAGGGGGAGAGGGGATGTCGCATGGAAAATAAGTGTATACCTAAGGGCTCGTTTTTTTTTTCTCGTGTTTTGACACAATATAGAGATGAGGTCTAACAGACAATAATGCCAAGGAATGCACAGGGGAAGTTATTAGAACCAATGTAACGAAAGTAAGAAGAAAGAAAAGTGGGTGAAAAAATAACCAGCCGTGAGCAGGAATCGAACCTACGACCTTCGAATAACGCGTTCGATGCTCTACCGCTGAGCTATCGCGGTGGCTATCCCCCCCCCCCCCCTCCCCAGCCACTGTTTTGGGTTTATATGTGAATTTAAATGTGGGAGCGTCAGTCAGCGCCCTCAGTAGCCATGGCGGCGATTGTGGCACACTCTTTATGAGTTTGTGTGACGTCACGTAGCACGTGAACTTATTAAGAGCTGACAGCTGACCAATAGACTGTCGCATCGAACTTAACGGCACCAAGTCTGCCAGTATGAGATGAGACCTTCGTTAATAAATAAGGATGAGAATAAATAAATAAATAAATATATATATATATATATATATATATATATATATATATATATATATATATATATATATACGAATTTGCTAAATTTTGTAAAGGTAAAAACTCCACGTTAACAAAATTATTTAGTTGCACAATTAATTTAAGTGGAACGTCAGTAAACTTAAAAGTAATATCACTTGTACGATGCTACTGCAGAAGTTATACAACTGTGTTGCACAGGTTGTTTTACACGATTAGAAAATTTTGGAATACCGAGTACTGCCTACTATGAACGACGTCTGTTGGTCACTGTACCAAGCAGTGGGACAGACACTTATCGAGTTCTCACGAAAATTTTCACACAGAGAAAACGATAAATAGATTATTTTTTTAAAGAGGGGGTACTCTTCAGCGCATAAGCCAAAACGCAGAAAGAACGTTTTTTTTTTTTAATCTACAATCCCCGCTGTACATTTACATCACTGTCCAAACTCCGTATACTACTGGGAACTCGAAAATTCCGAATTTGCACTTAGGTGACGCGAAAATCGGATTGCGCATCCTTGTCTCAAAAGAATGTCCCGGAAATCCCGCCTTTTTGGCGTAGCTTTTTTTTTTTCAAAACATGACAGCATCGCGGTGACAGATATATCGGCCGCCCCAGCGAGCCTGTCGAGTTCAACACCCTTGCTGACGTACAGCAACTCCTAGTCATGCGCACAACAGCTCTTTTCCTCATTCGCGCTCCTCGAAGCAAACAAACGACTTTTCGAAGAGGAAGGAAGGCACCGCATTGTTTCGGGGGCAACCTTCCGCCCGTCGTCCAGGCTGACACAGTCAATTTCCTCCGCAAGCGGATGGGGCCCCTAATTGCCTTTCAATCGTCACACCTGGACCGTTTGGCAGCGTGGCGACGCAGGTGACGTCAAAACCGTCTTCGAACGATGTCCATGGGACGTGACGTGGACGCGAATGCATACACAGAAGACGAAGAGTCCCGCGGAGCTGAGAAGAACGGATCCATCGGCCGAGTCTCCCACAGTTCCTTGTCAGCGCAGCCGGTGTGTGTGTGTCTGCTCGGTCTGTCGAGCGGTCGGCTTGTTAGGCCTAAGGCTTAGCGAGCCATGGAAGCTGCTGCGCGAGGTGCAGCCGGGTGGCGGGCGCACAGGCGGGGCTCGCCGCTGTTGCTGCGCGGTCAAAGCAGCCAGACCGGAAAAGACAGCACGTCGACCGTGTTTGCTGAAGGGATTCTTCAAACACGGCCAGCGCTGGCCTCCAGTCTCGTGCGCGGAGATTGCCCTGGGCGGCAGAAGGAACGCAGTCGGTGGTGGTGGTGTGTGAGTCGGGTACACGTCATTGACCTTAGTAGGGGGTGCCTACCTCGCCTTGCCTGCACCCCGCGACCTTCTCTGCTCTCACCCATCCTACTGTCTTTGCACGAGAAGGCACCCCCCCCCCCCCTCTTCACCCCGGCGAGGAATTCGTTGAAACCGAGAATGTTGAAGGAGAAGTTGGAAAAGGAAGCACTCGAAGTTCTATCAAAGTTTGCCATGACGGGAGAATGGCCCAGAAAACGACAAGGGTGCAGTGACGAGAAAGACGTGAGGCGCTACCGGCTAAAAGGCAGTCGAAGAAGGCGAGGATGACAAGCGGAAAGCGAGGCGCGAAACCACCCAATTTAGGGCAAGTCCGCAAACGTGGGTGTGAGCCACGAATCGATGTTATCGTGGTCAGCACCCCATCTCATGGAACGGCCGTAATGCTTACTGAGCATGGACAAAGTCATGAGGAATGGAGTGTGCCAACCCTCCGAAAATGCTTAACGTACACATACAAAAGCGTGCCCGAACACACGCAAGCGGTGGTTGAACTCACTTCTCAGAAGATTTTCCGACTACGTCCCTGTTGTCAACATGTAGAATTAAAGAAAAGGCTGATTGAATGCGTTGGGCCTTGGTTGTTGATTACCATGGAGTCAATTACGTCAACTATGCGCAAAAATGAATAAAAAATAATAATGCTTATAAACTCAGACATCCATCATACTGACTGGGAACACAGAGGAAACCAGACCACCGGGGTCTCCGGCGTCCGAACAACGCAGCAGGTGGTCGCCTACTGCTGGCAAAGCAACTCTGAACAATCCTCATCCAGGTGAGAGAGAGAGAGCATCGACAGACCTCTTCTACATCCATTGTAAGTCGAGGCACGTCTCCGGCTAAACGCTGGCTCAACTAATGTAAGGCTTGGGCCGTGTTTCTGTTACATGATGCCTCCCCAGGGCTTGACTGTCGCAATCAAAGGCTTTGTTTTGTAAAGAAGTACACCGAAAGCCTATTTCGTGCTCACGCTAAAATGAGAGCCACTCATCTTTTAGCCAGGCGCACAGGCAGAGCAATTTGTGACACCCCTAATTCCAGAAACTAAAGCTACAAGAGAGCGCCAAATCACTCACGTTCATAGTGTAAAAACCCAAAGAAAGTTGCTAAAGACGTGCCGTACAAATGTATGATAGCACTTGAAGATGAAAAAAAGTCCGATATGCTAATTAAGGTAACTGCCTTGAGTGCTTCGCTGCATCATGCAGCCTGAGAAGCCCACAATAATTCGAAGAAGCTAACACTAGAACGACACGGTGAGCGGCGTCCATTTCATTTTTTTTAATTATTTCTCAGTACGTACGATATCGATATTCTCTAGTAATCAAAACGCCACACATTTGTAGTTACAGTGTGCTACAACGAAAAATTACAGAAGTTATAGGAGAGATCGGAGGACGGCAGAATAGGTCAGGAGACAGACAGTGTTAACGGCTATCCAGGTTGACATTGAGCGAAAGAAATTGACCTGGGCTGGCAACGTAGTGCGTATACGCGAAACAGATGTACGGTAACGGCGAAATGGTGGTTACCAAGGAATGAGAGGAGGTCGACGAAGGCAGAGAGCTAGGAGGAGTGAACAAATTCACAAGTTCGCGGCAATGAAATAAAATCAGTTCGCAAATGATAAGGTAATCTGAATATCATCGAGAGAAGGCTTCGTCCTTCGGTGGGAATACACAGGCTGAAAATGACTGTGATTACGATGATGATGCTAACACATAAGGGAATGCAATGCCCGTATTCATTACAGCGTCGGTTCTGAGAGGTGCGCGAACGTACGAAGTTATATTTCGCCCGTTGATACGATTATCACTATTATATAGGCGCTGACAGATAAGAGTAAATGTCAGACATCGGTGCAGTATTTTATTAGTTGGTTGTCGAAATCACTCTGGAGTCCAAATTCAGCTGCGACTCTGCATTCCTTATGCTGCACTTCCTACTGGCAAGGCATCTTGCTCGAAACATCTTACTAGGGTTCGAGTTTTTCTTCTCTCAAATTTCTTCGGAACGGAAGGATATAGAAACGTAATTTATAGTTGAACGACATCACATTTACATTTCTGACACGAAGCTATAGCTTCTCTTTCCACGCTTCGACAACTGGTCTGTTCGAACTGTTGCCAACACAGCTTGACAAGGCGATTTCCCACACGGTGGTATAGCGGTTGTGTTGCTCGGCTGCTGACGCGGAAGTAGCGCCTTTGATCGCGGCCAGCGCTCTTGCATTTATAGTTGGACGCGAAGTGCTAGAAGCCCCTGTACTGTGCGATGTCCGTCCCCTTTACAGTGCACCAAATGGCCTGATATTCCGAGGCCTTCCACTATGGAATGTCTCATAATGATATCGTGGTTCTCACATGTAAAATGTAAAATCACTCAAATTATTATTATTATTATTATTATTATTATTATTGTTATTGCTGTTATTGTTGTTGTTATTGTTATTGTTGTTATTGTTGTTGTTGTTGTTGTTGTTGTTGTTGTTGTTGTTGTTGTTGTTGTTGTTGTTGTTGTTGTTGTTGTTGTTGTTGTTGTTGTTGTTGAGTGAACCCCGCAGTTTCACCTCATACGTGCAAAGTTTTCCGAGTTGTTCGAAAGCCGTATTTTATGAATCCTCTTCATAATAGAGCTTAGAGAGCATCGACAGGAAGGCGGAAGCAAAGTCAACAACTCTTTTGACTGCGTCACTTGTTCGGCCAAGACCTCACGTATATGAGTTATGATACCTTATAGTACGCTTCATGGCCTTATCGGTATCACATCTTCACACGACGAGTTTACTCGCGAATGGCACAAGGTCGCGCGAACAAGCAGGCCCGTACACTTCACGCAATGTTACCCCGTGGCACAGAACAGACCGGCCGAAGATGTACTCGATTAGACTCCGATATTAGATGGCCGCGGTAAGATGCGCCAGACAGAATTAACGTAAGGGGTGTAGTGGAGGGGGGTGGGATCGTAGACAAAAACAAACGGCCGGTACGTGGGAAAGACGACGCT